TGAAGCACTCTGTCCTATAAAAGTCATATTAACTGTGTGCAAATTTTCAGGGACCTTTGGATCTGCATCTGTATATTTCCAATATGCCTGATCAATGCATTCCAAAAATTCAGAGGGATCTTCATTAGCTTTCTGTTGTAATTCTTGGACCTTGTTTAAACTCTTCGGTCTAGGCACTCCCCTCCAGAGGCCTGCCAGAATACACTTTTGGAAATGATTTATTCTCACACCATCTGCATCTGCATTAGAATCCCAATTTGTGTAAGCCCAGTAATAACCTACAGCCGTCCTTGTGCATTAAAGCCCCTGTCTGATATTGCTGTAATGAAAATTGCCCTCCCCCAGTTAGGGGATCCCTCTGGCCAAATTGAGTTCCCTGCCAGTGTTAAAGGAGAGACCATTCCCACTCCTGAGTCATAACCCAGTGGGTGTGGGACTGAAAGATTAGTTCCAGTTGCGTCCTCCCTGGTCCTTCTCATGGTGCTAAGATGGTGGTGTGAGCGGTGGGCAGCAGCAGTTGCCCCAGGCGTGGCTCTGTAGGGGGCCACTTTCTGGACCAGCTGCAGGGCTCCAGCAAGGGTCAGGGCTGCAGTGGATGGGGCAGCAGGGCCCCGGCAGCACGAGCTTGATCACAGCTGGACCAGCTCCCCTGCTGCCAGCTCCCCACCTGCTGATTATTGTTTTAAGACACTAAGTTTTGGGATGATTTCTTATGCAGTGATGGTGACTGGAATAGGGCTTTATCAGGAGGACAGCAAGCAAGAATTGAGAAGCAGCCTCTAGTCTGTCCCTCCATTATGGCAAGCTGGAAGTATTTTTCTTTATTTAAAAAGGCCCAATAAATGGCTTCAGAGAAGTTCTTTAAGCCAGGAAAGCTGGCTGGCACTCTATTTTTTGGTCCATTTGATGGCTTAGAATCCAAGAATCTGGACCTTAGTTAAGAACCTCTGAACCAGCAACTTTTCCATGTGCCTTAGAAATCTCCCTTCACTTCTGCTGACTTCACTTCCTTCCCCCCAACCCATATCCCAACCTTAGTCCCAGCCCTGGACCATCATGTGACTCCACTACATCCCTCCGTCATTCACATAATTCAGTGGTTTGCTGGAGCCAGCTCATTCCAGCTCACAAGAGACAACTATTCACATCTCTTCTCAACTCAGTGTTCAGTAATATCACATTGGTAATTTGAAATCAGCCATGGCATTTACACCATGGAAATTGTTGAATGCTACAAATAGAGCTTCCCCTCCCCCTCCAGAAAGTCAGTTTATCAGGATATCTAATATCGTTAGCCTTTCTCCCTCTGGCCCCTGGGGTGGTGTCTGCAGAAAGAAAAAGACATGAAAACATATAAATTCTGGTTTCTGTCCTCAAAGGATTAGCAGACATATAAACAAATTGCTGCATGCTGTTACAGTGCGGTACAAAGCTCTGATGTGTAAAGGAGAAAGTGATTGACTGCTGGGGGTGCAGAGCCTCAGCTCAGTCTTCGATAAGAGTGGGTGATGCCTCCTTGGGATGGTGAAAGATGAAGAAGAGTTTGACAAAATGCATTTCAGGTGAAAGGACCCAGTGTCAATGACCAAAGGTGGGGGCTGCTTACTGGGAGAAGAAGGAGCAGACTGTGTAGGAAAAAAAAACACACTGGGAATTTAAAAATAGTTGCAAATGACTTGGGCCTTCTTTAACTCCTGAAAGACCCTGAGGACTTTGTGTGTAAGGACATGGAAGCATGAAAAACTTAGTATCTTCCAATTAGCTGGAAGACAAAGTGTGTGTATGTGGCAAGGAGGGGAGTGGTGATAAATTTGATTTAAGAAGTGGACGGGGTCAGATGGTGAGTAAGCCATGTAAACCATGCCGAAGAGCCTGGACTCTGTCTTCTGGGGGAAGAGAAACTGCTGAAGGCTATTAGGTAGGCGGCTGGTGTATTAGTCAGCTTTGCTACAATAACAAAGAACTCCAAAGAACTCTCATTTCTAAATTTCTTATTTCTTCTTCACATTACATTAGGACTGTGGGTTAACTGAGTCTCTACTCCAAGTTGCAGTCCTGCTCTACTCCAAGGTTTTCCCAGTTCTTATATTTAAGATTTGTTTTTTGAGCAAAATATACCTTTTTATCTAGTCTGATAATTTAGTATTTTTAATTGGAGTATTGTCCATTTACATTTAATATAATTATATTTGTATTTTTATTCACCATCTTATTTTTTGCTTTCTATATATTCCACTTGAATTATGTTCCTTTTATTCTCATTTCTTGCTTTCTTTTGTCTTAAATTTTTGTAATTTGATTTTTTACCTTTAGTAACTTGTTGTACACTTGTCAGTTATAAATTATTTTACTATTCTTGTGATAATCCTAGCAATTATAACATCCATCCTTGACTTACTACAGTCTAGTAAAAATTATTACATTTACCACTTTGCTAGTAATACTAGAACCTTGAAATATCTTCCCTCTATTTCCCCCTTATGTCTTTTGCATTTTTTGTCATGAATTTTTATTCTACATGATTTTTAAACTGTATAAGATATTGTTAATATTATTTTGTAGAGTTAATATTCATTTATACATATTCACAAAATTACTGTTTTTGGTGCTCTTTATTTCTTCTTGTACTCCTTGTTTCTGCCCGAGATCATTTTTTCTTCTGTTAGAAAAATTCATTTTTAGGATTTTTTAAATGCTTTCCTGCTGATAATATATTCTCTGTTTTTATGTGGCTAAAAACATCTTATTTCATCTTTATTTGAAGGAAATTTTTATCTAGGCATAGAAATCTAAGTAAATGCAACTATACCAGATACCATTTAATAGTCTTACTATCATTGGTATTAATGGTATTAAATACCATTTAATAGTCTGTATACACCCAATAACATTGTATGCTTATATATATAAATTTATTGAGCTTCAAATAATTTTTGTCATTTGTAATGTTTACATTGATTTGGTGTTCTAGTTGATATCATGCAATTTTTCCTAACATCCCTCTTCTTCCTAGCATTCTTTAATGTAAATAGTTCAGGATTTAGAAAGATAAATGACTCAATTCAAGAGTCAGTTCTGCCATTTACCACCTATGTGATCTTGGCCAAGTCATTTAACTTCTCTGAGCCAATTTTCCTATCTATAAAATAGGAAAAATATGATATGGGCTCTATTTCACTAGGAAGTTATGAGGTTCTATTGAGACATATATGTAAGTGCTTTATAAAATGTGAAGTACTGATCAATTAGAAATCTTCAGTGTTGTTATTTTCTGGAACAGAAATATTCTTAGTCTATATATCCAAAATTCTCTTACAAATGTTCATTTTCATGAACACACTATAGTTAAATGATATTATTCATATGTATTTATTTATGTATTCCCTTTCCTGTATTTAGGACAGTGTTAAAAATTGCATAAAATATAACTTACACAAGGTCAATCACAAATTTATTTCTAATCTTTCAAGAGACTCACATGAAAGGGAAAACCTGGGCTGGGCACTGTGGCTCACGCCTGTAATCCTAGCACTCTGGGAGGCCAAGGCGGGTGGATCGCTTGAGGGTCAGGAGTTCGAGACCAGCCTGAGCAAGAGCGAGACCCCGTCTCTACTAAAAAAAACTAGAAAGAAAGAAATTAACTGGACAACTAAAAAATATATAGAAAAAAATTAGCCGGGCATCGTGGCACATGCCTGTCCTACCAGCTACTTGGGAGGCTGAGGCAGGAGGATGGCTTGAGCTCAGGAGTTTGAGGTTGCTATGAGGTAGGCTGACGCCATGGCACTCTAGCCTGGGCAACAGACTGAGACTCTGTTTCAACAAAAAAAAAAAAAAAAAGGGAAAACCTGGCCAGTTTCATAATTTATAATTCCCATAAGATAAAAACCCATTATTCAAGAGCAGAGCAGTTATTTCTTAATACTAAATTCAGGCAGGAGTTTCCCCTTAGTTTTCTTTATGATGTAGAGTTATTTAAAAGATTTTTTCTGCTGGTTTAGAGGTTGCTGATTTGCATGGTTAATCCAAATGAGTGTTGGACTTACCTAGAATTTTAATATTCTGTTTCATATTCACCGTGGGAGAATTATCCATTTTAATGTGAGCTGTAAGCTCTTCCACCCTACTTGCAAATAGATTATATTCAGAAAACAATAAATAATGCCAGCTTTCTTTTCAAAATGCTTGGACACACATTAGAGGGAAGGTTAGACTAATATAATTAAAATTTTATTTTGCATATATAACATTAACAAACTGTCTTACAAAGACAGTATTTAGCTGCATTTTATTTTTCCTTCATAGATATTAATTCAAAAATTCTTTACTATATCTTTTAAATATTTAGACTCTTTACTACA